GTACCGTACATGGTTAACTGGAGCTGTTATAGGGTCCTAATAAATAAATGCCAAGGGTACGAATTCTGTTTTTAATATGTTACGTTTCGAAGTAGAATATGTTCAAGAGTACTCGAGAGGGGATAAAAAATAATACGAGTGGAGGAAATATAGCAGGAACGCAATAAGAGGAATTAGAGGAAAAGGGAAGAGGTAATCTCTGCAGGTAGGCGTACTATGATATCCTATTGGTAAACAGGCGTGATAGTTTTTTTTAATGGTACCAGGTGATGGAAAGAATACGTCGTGTATCTTGTAGTAAGCGACACGCCAGTCTATAAGTTTCAGTGCCATTAAAAGTTTTAAATCGCTAAGATCTGAAGGACACTGCCCTGCGCCCATCACCGTGAGGAATAAGTTGACTACTCCCATATACCTATAATTTCACCAGCTCACCGCATGAGCGTTACTGCTTGGCAGCAGAAATAGGTAAGCTTAATATCTAATTAAATCAATGAAATATCACAATACAATTTTGATATTGTAACCACATGATTGAGTGAGTAGTGCCATTGTCACCAAACCTCCAAGCCTCGAATAATGTACAACTTTTTTACTGCAATTATTCAGCTTTATTGTACAAGTGAAAATGTTAAACAATTTAAATGCGTGGATGTATAACTTGTACGAGTTAAAAGCTTTCTCCCATCATCAACATTAATATAATAAGCACATATCACTACCATTAAAAATCATTGTCATTATACATAAAACCATTAATTTTATTCTATCGTTGTGTTCATTAACGGCAAGTCATCCGTACGTCTGTATGTCAAAGTGTTTGTGCTACTTTGGAATAACTGTTTTGGATACTACTTAGTTATATTATTATGTATGCGGTAGACATTCATAGTGGCTGCTAATACAATGCAACAGTCGTGGAATATATACGGTGTTAATTTAATTGCGTTACGTGTGCAAGCCAGTCGACCTCAGAGATTTTTCTCAGAGTTATTTCGATGGAGTTTAGTTTTTAATTTTAATTTTGACAATTTAACTTTTTATTTTTACAAATATAATGCTTGTTAAGTAAAAGAAAAACTTAAATAACATTTTACATACACAAATTACATTTAAATAAATATAATAATAATGAAAGAAGGATAAAAAAAATTAAACATACTTAGCAACAATATTTAATATTCAAGAACCCCGAATGATAAATATAGGGGGGTGGTAGGAGGGCCAAAAAAGTTGATTATGATAATTCATTTAACTAAATTAATAAATAGTAAAATTAAATGTTTAGTTTAACTTGTTTTGTATTTAACTTATTTGACGCTTTCTGTCTAGTGACTCCAATAAAAATATCTACAAAATATCATTATTTTACTTATAATCAATCCATGTGGTACTTCCTTAAAAACTTTTGTTTCGGTTCAACGTAGCTTTATGAAAAATAGCGTAACTAATTAGTAATCATTACTTAATTGCAGTTAATTGAACTAACGATTAAACCATGAATTTAAAATTAAATTTCTTGCTTAGTAAATATACGTCATTGACATTTTTAAGTTATGACGGGCACAACTAGAGATATGACGACTTCGGTGGCCAAACGCTTAGTACTGTGGGCTCTCGATGCGGTCCAGGTTTCGATTACCAATAAGACCATTTTGGGAAACTAATTTTTTTAAATTGGTTCTGGTCTGGATGTTCTAAGCAATGCGTCCGGATTACTCATAGCACACCAACTACTTCATTTGAGACCAGGTAGTTGATGTGCTTGTCTGGCATATTAGTTTAGTACATATGTGTAAATAAACAAATAGTATTTTAATATATTGTTGTATTTTATTTTATGTATGTTAGTCCTTAAGGTATATACTACATATATGAATCATGTTGCCTGAATTAAATAAATAAATAAATAAAATTTTATACAAAGTATTAAAATTATTTCTTGAAAATTGGTACGTAACGTTATTTAAAAATAACGACAACTAATGTTGCAATCTGTACATATATGTGATACGGAATGTACATCCCTAGGAGACTCGTCTACAGCAGTTTATAATAATAATGTTCCAGAAAACCACAACAATTACCCGGTCTCAAACTTGAGACCAGCGGATATATTCCGAAACTCTATGAAAACCAAGAATAGTTAATTGGTCCTACCGCGTTATGTCACCTACATCATCAAAATGAATATATAAAGACATATGTATATATATTGATAAATGAAATGTGCTAACCTTTTTAGGTTACCTATTTAGTTAGGAAGAAATATATTAACAGCTTACAATAAATTGATAAGACACTCCTAACACTCGTGCCACCAGGCAAGAGTTCGTCCAAAGACATACCACCTTACCTATTTCTGCCGCCAAGCAATAATATAACTATTACTGCGTTCCGATTTCGAAGGGTAAGGGTGCTGGTGAAATTACAGACATATGGGACTTGTCGACTCATGTCTCAGGGTGACAGACGCAGTGACAGTGCCCCTAATGATCTTTGTGATTTAAAGCTCTGAGTGGCACTGCAACTGCTATGGATAGGCCAGGCGCTTACCACCAAGCGCATGAATTGTTCCGTCACTTGGTATTATAAAAAAAAGACACGCCTGCCTCTAACAATTGCAGTGCCACTCAAATCTTTAAATCGCAAAGATTTGAAAGGCACTATCAAATCGCCCGTCAAACGTAAGTTGACTAGTCTCATGTGCATGTAATTTTACCAGCACCTTTACCCTTCAAAACCGGAACACAGTAATGTGCACGTTACCGCTTGGCGACAGAAATAGGAAAAGTAGCAGTACTTCTCTGGACGATTTCTTTCACAAGTACATAAGGCACTTTCTTTATATTTATATAAAGATTATTGTTGCTTAAAGTCTCTAGAAGCTTCGATACTAAAATCTTAATGTCCTTGAACTATACAGAGAAAAGCCTATCACACCAATACATAATGTACATAAAATTATGCAAAATTTATTGTATTGAATATGCAATATTCCGCGTATTTCAATTATCCGAAGATGGTTTATGTGTAAATAGGTACATAATAAAAATTTTATATCTTTTTTATTGCATTTTGTTAAGTCGATTTTTCAAACCTTGAATATGGAGAGATAAATTCGTAATTATATTATTATTATAATACATTTATAGGCAACAATATTGCAAAATATATATATTTTTGACATAATTAAATACCATCCTCGTCCTACTTTTCTATGACGATTTCTTGCCCACCATTCGGCCAAAGATGTGAGGGGCCCTGCGCCCGTCACCCTGAAACATAAGTTGACAAGTCCCATGTGCCTGTAATTTCACCAGCACCCTTACCCTTCAAAATCGGAACACAGTAATGCTGACATTACTACTTGGCAGCAGTAATAGGTAAGGTGGCAGTACTATCCTGGAAGAACTCTTTCACGAGGAGTTAAGTTCGTCATCCGATCTCCTATGTCCTGAACGTTAGTTCGTCTTCGTATTGCTGAATTCGGAACTCAATCAATCCATGGCTCTTTGTACAAATCTCATTGTGTACATAACCTTCCGTAAGTCATAACGGGCAAGACATATTGGTTGAATAAGTGGTCGTTATATAGTAAAGGATTATTGCAGAGTCAAGAATTATATTTTAATAACTTAATCTGTATCTTTAAGTAGCAGTAGACCTATTTCCGCCGCCAAGCAGTAACGTTAGCATTACTGCGTTCGGGTTTTGAAGGATAAGGGTGCTGTTGAAATTACAGACACACGGGTCTTGTCAACTTATGTGTCAGGGTGTCGGGCGCAGTGGCAGTGGTTCTCAGATCTTTGCGATTTAAAGCTTCGAGTGGCACTGAAATTGTTATAAACAGGCGTGTAGCTTGCTATCAGGTGCACGACTTGTTCATCCCTTCACTTGATATTGTAAAAAAAACTCTGTTGAACGTCCGTCCGTTCTGGGCACGATGTGTTTTTCTAGGCATTAATTTCGAGTCAATTGTTCTTTTACTTTCTTTCTGTTGTAGAAATAACTGAATGAAAACTCTTCTATACAATAGACATAATGAACTTATTATAAAGGCAATAAAGGTGTATATAGTTTTTTAACAGACAATGACATAACGAGTTTCAGCTTCATATCGAGTTCAATTTATTTCGAAAGTACGTGTTGCTTTCCAAAAATAGTAGTTATGAAATAACTTACGTTTATTAAACCTACTTATGTCTATGTACTTTGCATTTATGAAGCACGCTATATCTTTTTAGATATAAGTGTTATGAGGTCAAATAACTTGACACATTCTGCCTTTACAAGACTTTGTAATTTTAAATAATCGAGAGCAATTTTAGTTATTAATACGAATTTTATTGTTTTTACTAGTTGTTTGGAAATACTATCACCATCTACAATATGGTCTCACTTTTTTGTTGCTCTTTGTATTTGGATAAAGATATTTTCCGGAAAGTGATAAAAAAAAGATTTTTCTTTAGCAAGCGTACGTAAGTGCAATAACTTTCAGTATTCTTTAGGCATTTTATGTAAACGATTTAACGGTTTACAATTTCAATTTTAAAAACGTATATATTTGAACAACTTCACATTATATACGGTATTTTGACATATTCAGTTCAACGCTACGTTGGTATTATAAAAAAAGATACACGTAGACAAAAATCTCTAAAATGTGCGATCGTTTCCGAGCGCGTTGATATCTTTTGTACTACAATTAAACTCATGGTTGAACATTTGAAAATATGAACTTGCGACAGATTTAACTTATCAATACAACGAAGTTATATTTAAGTAACTGTTTTCGTCATAAAAAAATTCGTTAAAGTTCAGTTTAAGAATTCTGACTTATTTTTTTCATATTAACATCACTAAAAGTTTAAACGGCAATCAATGTATGCAAAAAACAGGACGTAAAGGTGAAATGAAATATTTCTAAAAATACACAAGTAAACTGGTGACCTTTAAGTCAAATGTCGACATTTACAAGCTGAAAAAATGTAACTTACCTTGACATGTAACTAAACTGATACACAGAAGTGCGCACACGCACCACCGGACAAAGTTCCTCGATCCTTGCATTTTGGCACTACCACTATACAATCTGGGTTGCAGCATTTCACTTTTTGCACTTCAATATTTCATTATTTAAAAATAACGTAACGAAAGTTTACAGCTTCTGACGACACAATTTCAAAAATAATTAACACGCACTTTGTTTTTGGTCAAAAATTTCCAATTCAGAATTTATTCTTTTTTTGACATTTCGTGTCGTTGTTTCTAGCCAGTAGTGGTATTCGATATTCGAAAGGTCCGCGGTGCGGCGCAAGCGGTTCTCGACTGAGACGGGTCGGCGCACACGCACCGCTACCGAACGCATTTTCTCTCTCACCGTGTTTGCCGCCTTGGGACAGATGTTGGCAACCTTCTCAATGCTTTTCCGGGTTTCCGTATTACTATTTTGGGCCATATGAATGGTTGGTTTTAAATTTTGAGTTTTAATTGAAATTTTAATTGTGTAAAATAATATTACTTATTTAATGAGGTCGACGATTCGAGTCCCATTTGAGGCACGAATTTACTACTGTTTAAATAGTACTATCTACTAAATGTTTAAGTTACGTACAATTGTGAATGTTTAATACCACTCACTGACGGTGAAGGAAAACATCGTAATGAAACCTGCATATCGAAGAAACTTCACAACCCTTGTACAACTTGAGAAGTGTCCACCCCTCAAAGGGCCAGTGTGGCGGACTATGGGCGACCCATGCCCGGTAGTGTAACATATAATGGATCGACGATGATATAAAAATTATTAAGGTAGGTGTGCGTTCATTTTGTTAAATATTAATAATACATATTTCGTCTTTTCTTTACCTCATACACACACACACACACACACACGCGTGCGCACACACACACACACACACACAC